GCTGGTCTATTAGGGATATGTTTGACACTATGAAATATTTGATGTTTCTGAATGATGGGTTTGACTTAACTAAAATTTATCTTTTGTTGAGTACACTCAAGGAGATAAATTTTAAAGGCATGTTAAGCTAACACATAAGATGTGTGAAGACAAAAGAGTTGTCAGCTTAATGATCTGGAAGTTGTGTGGAGATACATTTGATAAAAATATCTACTCAAATGTTTTATTAGGATTTGTTGAGTACACTCAAGATCTTGATACAACGAATGGGATCCCAGCCCAATGGGAATCAAATGTGGATTCAAATAATTTATGTATGAGGGTCATGGATTCATTTTAAACAGTGGGAGCACATTTAATTAAAATCCATATTGAGTTTGTGCATATGCATTATAATACATATTAATTCTACGTTTTTTCCGTCATTTATAGTTTTTGAATCATGAGTAATCATATGAATTTGAGAGGCATACTGGATGCCAACAAACTGATCGGACCAAATTTTTTCGATTGACACCGCAAGTTGAGAATCGTTCTCAAGCATGAGAAAATTGGATATGTCCTTGAGCATTCCTTTCCAGTGGTGCCTACTGAAAATTTCACTCAGGAAGAGGTGGCTGCTTACAACAAACACAGTGATGACGATAACACTGCAGCATGTGTGATGCTTGCAGCTATGTCACCTGAGTTGCAGAAGCAACATGAGGGTATGGATACTTATACTATGATTTTTCATCTTAAGAAGTTGTATGATGAATAATCTCGTATGGAGAGGTATGAGACCTCTAAACAACTATACCGGTGCAAAATGGCAGAGGGATCTTCAGTCAGTGCTCATGTGCTGAAGGTGATTGGCTTCGTTGAAAAACTGGCTTCGTTGGGTTTTATTATGAATCATGAACTAAGTATTGACTTGGTTTTGCAATCTCTGCCAGATAGTTATTCACAATTCATTATGAACTTCAATATGAATAAGATCAAATGTACACTCCCTGAGTTGCTTAATATGCTTAAAACTGTGGAGCCCAATGTCAAGGCTAGCATTAGGCATGTCTTAGCTATTCATTCCTCCAAGGGTACTAAGAGGAAAATCAAAGGAAGTTTTAAAAAAAATCCAAAAAGGCTAAGGGTAATAACAAAACAGTCAAAGCAGGCAAGGACAATACCAAATCTGATGACCCATGCTATCATTGTGGAGTGAAAGGTCATTGGAAGAGGAACTGCAAGGCTTACCTCACTAGCTTGAAGGGAAAGAAATCTTCTGAAACTTCTATTTCAGGTATTTTTGTTATCAAGGTTAATATGTCTACTTCATTAGCTTCTTGAGTATTAGATACCGGATGTGGATCTCATATTTGTATAAATATGCAGGGACTAAAGAGAGGTAGACCACTGCAGAAAAGAGAAGTTGACCTGCGTGTGGGAAATGGAGTAAGAGTTGCTGCATTAGCTGTAGGACATACTTCTTACCACTGACTTCGGGCTTAGTATTAAAATTAAAAAAATGTTATTTTGTTCCCGCCATTACTAAAAACATTATTTTTATTTCATGTTTGGACATGAATGATTTTTCAATTAATGTTAAGAACAATCGTTGTTCGTTTTATAAATATGAGATCTTTTATGGTTGTGGTGTGTTGCAAAATGGAATTTATATTCTTGATACTGAGTCGTCTATTATGAATATAGAAAATAAAAGGCATAAAAGTGATAATCTAAATAATACATACCTCTGGCATTGCAGACTGGGCCATATTAACGACAAACGCATTTTCAAGTTACATAAAGATGGATACTTGGGGTCAACTGATTTTGAATCATTTGACAAATGCCAATCGCAAGTTCCTTTTTACTGGAAAAGGAGAAAGAACCACAGAGCTGCTGGGACTAATACATACTAATGTATGTGGACCCATGTCAATAACTGTCAGAGGTGGTTTTTCTTACTTCATCACATTCACTGATGATCATTCTAGATATGGTTATGTGTATCTGATAAAATTCAAGTATGAAGCACTTGAAAAATTCAAGGAATTCAAACTTGAAGTAGAGAAACAGACTAGTAAAAATATTCTCACGCTGAGATCAGATCTAGGTGGAGAATATTTAAAGGGAGGATTTTTAGATTATCTAAAAGAGAATGAGATTCTCTCGCAGTGGACTCCACCATATACACCGTAACATAATGGTGTATCTAAACGGAGGAATCACACTTTGTTAGACATGGTGCGATCTATGATGAGCTATGCAAACATCCCAAAATCATTTTGGGATCATGCACTAATTGCTACGTACTACACACTTAATCGTGTCCCATCTAAATTGGTTGACAAAACTCCGTACGAGCTATGGCGAGGAAAAAGACCAAACTTATCTCACATGAAAGTTTGGGACTGTGACGCTTATTTAAAGTGAAATAAATCAGATAAGCTTGAGGCTTAGTCTGACAAATGCGTATTTGTGGGATATCCAAAAGAGACAATTGGATATCAGTTTAATAATCTTGTTGAGAAGAAGGTTTTCATATCAAGACATGTTATATTCCTAGAGAAAGAGTTTATTCTAGGAGATGGTAGTGGGAGCAAACTAGAACTTGAAGGAGTTCAAGAATTCATAGATACTGTTGACCAATTAGATGAACCTGAGTCCGATCCTACACCTGTTGACGGACAGACTCTTGATCAGGATGTAGAGAACCCTGAGAACACTCCAACTCAGTGTAAATCAAGTAGGATCATTCGACTTCCCAAAAGGTACGAATTCAGGATTACTAATCAAGTATTATTAGTCGAGGATGATGAACCTACAGATTACGTAGAAGCGAAGTCAAGTGTTGACTCGAAGATATGACAAGAAGCCATGGAATTCGAAATGAATTCAATGTATAAAAACAAAGTTTGGACCTTGGTCGACCTTCCAGGTGAGATAAAGCCGATATGTTGTAAATGGGCTTACAAGAAAAATGTCGATGTGGATGGAAACGTCGATACATACAAAGCAAGGCTAGTAGCAAAGGATTATACACAACGACAAGGCGTTGACTTTGACGAAACTTTTTCGCCTATAGCCATGCTAAAGTCCATTCGAATTCTGCTTGCAATAGCTGCATACCATGATTATGAGATATGACAAATGGATGTCAAAACTACTTTCCTTAATGGAAACTTACAAGAGGAGGTGTATATGACACAGCCTGAAAGTTTTGAATTCAAAGGAGCCAACAAAGTATGTAAGCTAAATCGATCCATTTATGGATTAAAGCAAGTCTCTAGGAGCTGGAATCTTCGTTTTGATGAGATAATCAAAATGTTTGATTTTATCAAAAATGAAGATGAACCGTATGTTTACAAGAAGACAAGTGGGAGCGCGGTCGTATTTCTAATATTATATGTCGATGACATTATTAATGGGAAACGACATCCTAATGCTTCAATCGGTAAAATTATGATTGTCGAAGAATTTCTCCATGAAAGATATGGGAGAAGCAGCGTATATCTTGGGAATCAAGATCTATAGAGATAGATCTAAAAAATTACTAGCCTTATCCCAATCTTCGTATATAGATAAAATCTTTAGAAGATTTAATATGGAAGAGTCTAAAAGAGGTTTATGTCCCATGTCGCATGTGATTTATCTCTCAAAAGATATGTGTCCTAAAACACATGATGAAAGGAGCGTATAGATAAGATTCCTTATGCTTCGGCGAAAGGATCTATCATGTATGCGATGCTATGTACGAGACCAGATATTTCATATGCTCTAAGTGTTACGAGCAGGTTTCAAGCAAACCCTGGTGAGAAACACTGGATAGCGATTAAAAACATTTTTAAGTACTTGAGAAGGACTAAAGATGTGTTCTTAAACTATGGAGGAAATGAACTGAAAATTCATGGGTATACTGATGCCAGCTTTCAAACTGACAAAGATGATAGCAAGTCTCAATCAGGATATATGTTTACTCTCAACAATGGAGCGGTTAGTTGGAAAAGTTCCAAACAGGAGACAACCGCTGATTCAACAACAGAAGTCTAGTACATTGCTGCTTCTGAAGCAGCAAAGGAATTTGTCTGGATCAAGAAATTCATTAATGAACTTGGAGTCGTTCCAAGCATTGTTGATTCCATACCTTTGTATTGTGATAACAATGGAGCCATCGCACAAGCGAAGGAACCGAGGTCTCATCAACGATCCAAACATGTACTACGGCGATATTATCTCATCAGGGAAATTATACAAAAAAATGACGTAACGATAGAGCGAGTTCCCACAGATGACAATATTACAGATCCACTAACAAAGCCGTTGTCACAACAGAAACATGATCGTCATGTGGACGGTTATGGTATTAGATACATGAGTGATTGGATCTAGAGCAAGTGGGAGTTTGTAAGTATTGTGCCCGAGATTCAATCGATTTAGGTTGTAAACACTTTTAATATGTTTAATACATTTAATTTTGGCAAGATCTATTATTTATTAAAATTATTTTGTGATAAATAATATTAAATAATAGAGTCCGAAGATCCAAGTTTAAGTGATTTGCTAATCACAAGGAGTTGTGATTGTGAGATACAAATTACGAATGATTGGATCTTGAATAAATCGTGGTCGTAAGTAATAACGAGATACGAATATCGTTAATACAGATAGACCATCACGTGTAGCATTTCTTACTTATGAAGTGAGTAGCTGATCTCACAAACTAAAGTGTGGTGACACTTAAATGAACACGTTGATGTTTTGTTGTAGAACAAAATATTGGAGACCCGCTGAGAGATTCCACATGGATAACTATCTGAGTGTCAGTGGTTAATTTCTAACGTTCGGTAGTGGAATTGGTCCTATGACTTGAGGTAATCATAGTGCTTTGTATGAAAACAGTCATACTTTGACGATGTTGGATGTTGTTATGCTAAGGGCCGCTAATACGATATCGTTCGGATATGTCAAGAACCATATGAAGGTTGTGAATGACCAATAGAGGATTCGTTACTCTTAGATAGTCAGAGATTGTGATCTGCATTTCGTTCAATTAAGTCAATAACGAAATCCTTGGCCAAGGTATACATATAAGTCGAAAAGGAGTTTTCAACTCATATTGACTTAATAGTAGAATGAAAGATATGATCGATAATCGAGTTTGACACACTTCCATATCTCGTAGTTGATCGGATCATATTGACGAAGGGATTTTAATTTCATGGTAAATGAACAGTTTTAGCTTTGTCATACCACGTGACATTTTTCGTCGCATGTGTTGCCCTGATACATTGCTAGACGTCAATCTGGGACGGCGAGTGTGAATTTGTGATAAATTAAAAAGGTGTTTAATTTATCAATTTTGATTAGATCAAAATAATATTTCACATCGTTAGGCATCGTAGTCGAGAACCTAATAGGTCGCACACAAAAGAGAATTGAAAGATTGCAAATCGCCAATTAATTAATTTAATAATCGTTGGATAAATTAATTAATTGGATTGATTATTTATAAATATATGGTTAGAGTTTAAGGTCCATAAAGTTTTCATTATTCTTGCTGGCACAAAAAGAAAAATCCAAGCAGTTGCAGTCCATTCTCCGTGTGGATTTCATGGGAGACTGGACAATTGGACAACTGTGGAAGGCAGATTCAAGTTGTTGGAAAAGAATAACGCCAAGGAGATTACAAAATCAAGAAAAAAGGTATATTTCTTATCACAATTCTTATCTAAATACAAATCTGAATCCTGAATGAAAATTGAAATTATTTAATTCCGCTGTGCATGTTTAAGTAAATTCTCAACATTAGTTGCCAAGCATACCTGCAAGAAACTTCAAAAAGGTTGCTCCCACCACTGTTCCGGGCTTTACTGCAGACGTTAGGCAAAAGATTAGGAGATGTACTACATCAAACACTCAAATCTAATCTCCCTGAAGTGAAGTATTATATTCAAAATAATTATACAACTTTTAATGAATAGAGATGCAAGGAAAATTTTCAAATACTTCAAAGCCAAACTGCTGTAAGATAGACTACAGTGCAATAGTGGATTGAGATTCTACTTAACATTCAAAGGGAACCCAGAGTGCGAGCCCGGGGGAGGGGAAAAAGAAAGAGCAAACAAAAAAGAGAAGCATTCAATTTCATGTTGATGACATTCCAGAATTCAAATGTTTAAAAAACTTGTTTACCACTTCACGTGATCACTCTTCGTTAAACATTCAAGCAAGAAAGAGATAGAGAAGACACCTGCTTCTAGATCGAGCATCTGAATAAGCATGAATGTGATGTTGACACCAGCAACAGCAAATGGGTATTCCCACATGGCCCGATCACCTTCCTGCTTTCGAAGAAGATCTTGGAAAGATTTCTGTAAAAAGAATCACGTCACAGGTAGAGAGTTCAAAGAGACTGTTGGGGCGTAGGGAGAGAAAATTGAGGCGAGAGAAACTAGAAGAGTAGTATGCGGGGGGCAGGAGAGAGATGTATGGTGAGTTGTCCAGTTTCATTTATTTATTTATTTATTTTTTTAAAGGGAGAAGTTAAGAGCGCAAGGAAAATCTTGTAGTATGTGGTTTTCTCAATTTTCTCCTTGGTGGTGGTGATTTGCCGGAACAAGTTTAATTCTTGTTTTTGCCTCTTTCTGACCCATATTCTCGTTTTTGTTTACACTATGCATTCGGGGCCTGTGAGTGTGCACCCAAGATGGCGTGTGCATGCGAGAGAGAGACTGGTCATACCTGAAAGTTCCTAGCAAAGAATAACAAATTTTCCAATGATATGAAACCACCACCCCTGACAGAGGAACCTATAAGTTAAAGGTACAAAGGAATTACAAGAAACAAAAATTTATCTATTGATAATGAGATTATGAGACACCTGAAAATAATTGAAGAAAATAATATTTACCTGAAGTCTGTAGACGGATCTTTTCCCTGCCAACCCATTTCCTTCCACTGCTCAGATATTAAACCGGAAAGTTCCTCCCCAGGAAAGGCTGCATTCCACAATGCTCTCAGAGCTTCCTATAACAACAAAGCATATATTAAATTAGAGAGAGAGGCAATCATCAAAGCTGAGTTTCTGTTCTAACCAAACGGATGGCCTCCAGTTTGAAGGATCAATTTAATTGTATCATGAGCAGGAAGAAAATCTTCTTGAGTTTTAAATAAGCTCTGATAAGTTAGTGAGATGTAAGCAGGACTATACCTGATGTTCGATATTTGAACTATCATAAGCAACATCTATCCGCTGCTGCAGCCTCTGTAGACATTCCTCCTAATGCACAAGGTGAAATAGAACATCAAAATCTAATGACTCAAGTGTTACTCAATCACCAGATATTGTTAACTTAAACAACAGAAAAATGAAAAATGAAAAGATGAGAAACAGAGGCAATGTCACATTCTATATATTTGGCACAAATTGTTCTACTACAAATTCATGAAAGCACGTATGCATAAGTGATTGACGTGCCCATCTATTAATGTCTAATTTATCCTCGTTTAACAATAAAAAGTTTTCCAGATCGGTTGGAGATTAACTCGAGGGCACACCACATTTTTATGGATGTGCATTAATTTGGTAATGAAAGCCACACAAAGATTCAGGCTAAACAACCATGATCAATAACCAACTTTGATATGAGATAGTCAACCACTAACAAGACAGACAGTTATAATACAAATTCTTTTTCCACATATTAGTGTTTATTGCCTAACATTAGTTGCATAATTAATGACCTAAAAGAGTGCTGTAAACTAATATCTTAATTAACACAAAGCCAAGTAGATAATTATCTGATATAGTAAATGGAGGAATCCAGATGATACGAAACCAAATTCCAGAGTATCAATCCACCAAATATTACCTGGGCAGGCGTCAAATCAAATGATGGGTGAGCATCGTTCTCTCTTCTTTGAACACAAACACATGAAAGGCCTCTGCCAAGCCATGCTGCTGATCCTGCCACAACCTCTGCTGTAATGAAAGAAAATAATTGGCATTTTACAAATTTGGATACTGAAGCACCATGCATGAGTAAAATATTCTAGAATGCAAATTCAGCAAATAGATATGAAATAGGTCAGCTTCCTGTTACGATTATATTATATTTTAATTATTTGTATTTTCTTATTTGTATTTTTCTTATTTCTTGAATTAGACTATGGTTGTTATTATTATTATTATTATTTTTTCATTAGTGGTATACTTTTAACTACTTAATAGGTAGTGGTAGACATGGAGTTAACTAGTGCTCCCTAGTTTTAGGAAATATGATTCATTTTGTTTGTATTCGAATCCTATGAATGAACTCAAATGAAGAGAATTATTCTACAGTTTATTGTTGTATTCGGGGGTTTATTGGTACCTCAAATTACAAAAACTTTGGGAGGTCTGGGTTTCCTTGAACTAAACTATTTTTTCGTTGTTCTTTTTTCTGTTTTATTTTGTTCATTGATACGCACATATGTCATTTGTGTTTGTATTGCTTTCCCCAATATAGTATGTAACATGTTGATGTCAAACAAGCGCGCACACACATCATTGTTACTTTTGCAAGTTCAGTATAATCAATTAAATGCATAATTGCATGATCTATTCGAGGATGTAATTATACACAAAAAATAGTACAACGATATTCAGCTTACTTTCATACACTTGTTTGACAACCTACGAGATGCTCTGGCCAAAAATATTAAATAAATGACATGCAAGTATATTTCAGGAGGCAATACCTCACTTGGGAGGCTATTAGTTATTGTAATTCCAGTGCTCTGGAAACTTTAACGAACATACCAACATTTAAGTAATTAAAACTATAATACAGTAATAAGAAATATTAGTTCAGCTTTTATGAGAAGGCTGCCTCGATAACTTCATCTTTAAGGCCAGTAAAACAAGCATAAATTGAAGAAAAATCAAGCAACGTGGTCACTTAACTACTTTTAGAATGCTTCAAATTTGTGAAGTTTATATAACTAGACTTCTCCCAAAAAAAAAAAATAATAATAATAATAAAATTATTATAGAGCAAAGTTGAGACAGTTGATTTATGTTTTACCCACTGTAATTCTATTTAAGCAATATAACTAACGTACCATTATGATTGAGAAGCCATAAAAGGTCGAAACTAGTTCAGCAAATAACACTAGAGCATTTTATTTTGATTGTGCTTAAAAGTTACTTTTTAGAAAGTAAGTTAAGATTTACTTTTAAAAATTAAAAAAGTGTAACTTTGGAAAGAAGATAGACTTACTTTTAGACGCGTCAAACATATGCCTAGAAAACTATTAAAAGTACTAAAAAGTATTTTTAAGTTTAGTCAAACATGTGTCTGAACTTAAATAAATTAACCCTTTCCCCAACTATGTTTGGCCAAAAAAATGACTTCCAGTTTACTTATTTTTACTTTCTCTTGACTTACTTCAATCATTAACGGTCTGCTCAATTTACAATTTATAAAATTCCGCAATGTAGAAGTGTGAAAATTTAAGAAAGATTCTGAAACAGCTAAAACAAACTTAGTCAAAAATTTCAAAAGGGTAGCAATAAAACCTCATCAAAGATAGTTCGTGCATTACTGGAAACAGAAAACGGAAACTCACTAACACTTGAATGTAAATATGCATCAATTAACAGATCCAGAACCTCCAATTACATTAACTCCACACATATACGTACATCTACAATACAATAATTAAAAAAAAAAATTGAACATACCAGAAGTAGAGTGGTAACTATTTCCTCGGCCGAGACTTGAAGAAATTCTCCTCACAGCAACAAATGATCCTCCTCCTCTGTCATCCATTCCTCTATTTCGCTTTCTTCAAATATTGATTTTCCAAAAATTCCCTCTACTCCCACAGCTGCTTCTTTAAATCTCTCATTTCACTATTATAGTGCTGAAGTTTGAACTAAACGATGGAAACTAACACAAAATGCAGGTCAATAGAAAGATTTCCAGATCCACTGATTCACTGAATTAGAATAAACACCACGAAAGCATCCTAAAAACAATTCTCTCCATAATTTCTATATGTGACGATTAATTATAGATACGAATGAATGTACGTATGCAGATGGCAAATCGGCTCTCTCTCTCTCTCTAGATACTCTCGTTTCTCTCACTTTTCAGTTGGCATCTCTCTTTCTGGTGAGTGCGTGGCCTCCGCGTCCTTTAAGTTGATTTCGTCATTACGAATTTGAAAATTTTATTAATTTAAATCAATCTCCCAATTTATATATCACAGGTCCCCCAAACAATTTATAATCGTCAGTGGATTTAAAAAAAAAAAAAAAAAAAAAAACCCTTTAATTGATTAATTAGTACAACTCAACGAATCCTTAATTGATTAAGTGGAAAAAATGCACGCACGAAATTAATGTATACACTACGAGTCCGTTTGATTACAAAGATGGAATTGAATTCTCTAAAAAACGAATTCCCTGGAATTGAACTATCTAGAATTGTTTTCCTGACAATTGTAAATTATTGTGTTTGATTCGTATAATTTTTCACGTAGAAAATGTTGAAATAAAAGTATTTTTTGGTGTTCGTTTGATTTTGTTTTACATGAAAATTGTCAATTAAAAGAATAAATTTTACTTGTATTGAGGAAGAAATTTGTTTCCATTGCCAACAAAAAAAAACAAAAATTTCAAGAAAATCATCTACTTTTTAGTGTTCGTTTGACTTTGTTTTACATAAAAATTATCATTTAAAGAGAAATATTTTTTATAATAATTTTTAGAATTTGTTTCCATAGCTAACAAAAAAATAATAATAAATAAATAAGAAAAAAAATACTACAGCAGTTTGGTTTTCTCTAAAAACCAAGAAAAGTCCAAACTTCAAGAAAATCAAGAATTCGAATTCCATAGGAAAAAAAATTATCAAACACCGAAAGTTGGAAAACCCAATTCCAATTTCATCTTCCAATTCTATTTCCACCCTATCAAGCACGCCCTACATGTTTATTATAATGAAGATAGTCAATTTTAGTGTTTGTTTGGTAGGAATTTTGTTAATTGATTTTTTGACCGTTAGAGATAAAGTGGATCTTACCTGTGAGAGAAGAATTCAAAAATGACGGTTGAAATAGTGAAATAACGGTCAAAAAATTGATGTTAATTGGATTAAAATCTCTACCAAACATCCTCTTAGTTTATTTTTACTGATGTTCCTAATTTTTTTGGTCAAAAAGTTAATTCAGAGGGCATAAAACGACTTATTTGTCAATTATATTTTAAAATAGTAAACGCGATAGGTGACAATATTTTTCCTCATTTTAAAGTACACAAACAAAATATTTTGATAGAAATTATCATCGGCGGCGAGGTGAGATAATTAAAGAGATGTTAAAGATAAGAACTTAATAGAAAAGGTTAGAATATAAGTGCTATGGAGAGTAAAGATTGAAATCCTTAAATACAATTATAATGTGGTGTAATTAATAAAACATGAGATACTAACATAATTACCTATGTACATGTACGTTAAACCTCAATTGATTGTGAGTGGATAGTGATAAGTGTTTATATATGATTTAAATTATAAGTTGATAGAAATGAGTGGTGAGTAAGTGTATATTACTTGTGGTAATCTCAAAATGAATGGATGAAATGTGACTTGAGTGTTTATAAATAATTTATAAACATAGGCCAAGTATAGGTTAAATGCAAGTGGAAAATCAATCGTGGGTATGTTTTTTATGCAGTATAGGGCAAATTTAAATAGGATTAAAAAAAAAAAGGTTTCATCTTCTTCCCATTCAAGGTTTTCCAGTCCACTTTAATAAACACGCCATATTAATTAGTTAGATCTATTATCAATGGTTTTTGGAACTACAATGACACTAGTCACTGGATAGAGTTTTTGTTAAAGTTGCAACGTTGCTACTCTGATAATGATGCTAAAAACTGAATAGAGTTTCATAGAGTTATGATGTTGCTACTTCGATACTTGCACTAAGTGAAACTATTAGCCTATTTTTAATGACAGAGACAACATTGAATATAATGTAAAAAGTATAAGATAACAATAATACTTTACATTCTCATCGACCCGATAGAGTAGAGCTCGATCTGGGTTTGCTCAAGGTAGGGGTTCGAGTGCAAGTTTCTTCTTTTGACATTAGCCTTGACTTAGCTCAATATGTAACTCTTGTTCGTTTGTCAATTCAGGATCAGCTCGATCTACCGTAATTGCAAAGACACATATGCTTGGCACTAACGTGCGCAAACTATCATTGACCAAGCATACAATATAGGGTCAAGAACTAACAACTTTGAGCTCATAGCACATCACATGATATATAATCTTTACTAGAAAATCACTAATTTCAATAAGCACATTACTATACTCATTATAAACTATTCCATGCCACAAGAACGTGTCTCATTTTCAACATTCGAGTCAAAGTAATGTAGACTGTGTTTTGACCTATGAACTAAGCATATTTTTCACTAAAATATTTCATGAGATATCATAAATTAAAGAGTAATTTATGTGCTAAGCATGAAATAATCACTTGGAATTTGGGTGGTTGGTGGATTTGTCACATGGGATGTTGAGTAAGTGTGGTACCATGTCATGATGTTTGAAGTCCTTTCATGTTACACACTCCAAAAAAATCGACTCTCTGTACTTTGCTTGTCGATTACATGTATAATGTCAACACGTTCAACTTATTGTGATGGCCCACACGCATGGGTTTCCAACAAAGTTGAATAGTTTGTGGATTTTCATTGCTAATTATAGTAACGCTGCCTTGCATGAATATATTTACACTAAAATTATCGTGGAGATAACATAATATGATCACGTGATGTAGCGAAAGTATAAAAATGTAAAATAACAAATGAAAAAATCTATTGATTATGTGATACTCAAAAGTTCGAAAATCGAAGTTTAATTGCTTTTATAAAGAAAATTTGATTAGGAGTGGTCACTTTTTCCCAGAATCGGTGGAATCGGACCAGAACCGTTTAGAAGATGCCGGTTCAGTTCCGAATCTTTTAAAAAACAATTTGATTTCGGGACAAATTTTTAAGAACCGATCGGTTCTGGTCCGGTTCCCAATTCTAGTATGGGAACCAAACTTTATAAGATCCGAATTTTTTTTTTTTCACTTTGGATACGAAATTTTTATTTTGTTTTCACTTTGTAAATTTATACCTAAATAAATCTTTGAATAATATGTTTGGTTCTTCTATATTTTGTTAAAAGTATCACGTTGGTAGAATTTTTAGAGTTTTTATTAGTGAATATTTTATGTTGACATTTTCAATGTAAAGAATCGGATCGGACCGAATCGGAACCGATTGGTTCGGTTCCACAGCTAGCTATGGAACCAATGGTTCCATTTCTAAAATTCCCATTGGTATTCGATTTGGTTCGGTTCCCTATGGAATCGAACCAAATCGGACCGCACCCACTCCTAAGTTTGACAAAGTTTGAGAGAAATCTCAAAATTTTTATTTAAATAATCAATAGGAAAAAACTATTACGACTTGGAGTTTAATATATATATATTAAACGAATATTAATCAATTTTAGAAGAGTTGACATCAACAATGACACAATACTATAATTTCTTTAAAAGGTATGCAACATTGAATTAGAAGCTCTACGACTTTCAAGTGCTAACCATGTTGTGGTCCAATGCGTGTTCTTTACTTTAGATATTAATGCTTTGATGTGAAAAAATAGTACAATACATTTTTTATTCACTAAGAAGGAAAATGTCTATTGCACAATTCATTCAGTTGAACCTCCTTCGGCTTTATTCGAGAGACAGATCAGAAGAGAAATATGTCTCAACAATCTAAAAAACTTATTGATATTTTAAGCACTAGGTCATTCTTCTTTGTATTATATTATTCTATATGAGACTTTCATCTCGTACTATTCAAACAAAAACATCCAAATACCAGTTGCAAGGTATATGTAATAGAAAGTTTGAAATTTTTAATCTCAAGTTCAATCTTATGTGAAAGCATGTGGAAATATAGAATGATTCATTTTTTATATTAATATTAAGAATGTGTTTACTTTAATATAAATCAATGTTTTAATATGTCGAAGAATATAGTATAACATTCTTGTTAAATATATTAATTTTGAGGGCATGGTTATTTCTTTTAAGTTTTAAGCCACCAAAAATCGACTAGAATGTATGGTTAAAACAATCGAGGCATGTTACATATGTCTTACTGAATTTAGGCAATACTATGAACAAATTTTTTTACTTTTTAATATTATTAATATTGTGTAATCCTCGAGTTATGTCGATTTCTATTTAGTAGAAGTTGTCTACCTTGCTTTAAATTTGGTATATCGAATCAGCTTGCTCTCTTTTCATATGAGTTGTCCATCACTTATGATACTTGTGGAGGAAGCTCCAAAATAAAGTAGACGTACAAAGATATGGAGATTCTCTCAAGTCACAAACATTATTATGTTGAAATAAATATAGGTGTGTGAGACACATTAGGGCCCTCACATTTGTGCATTATATAGTGACATTTTTGTCTTTGTTTGATTAGGAGGCCAAATGAAATTAATAAGGATTAAAATATTTAGTTGTATGAAAAAAACATATGTACCAAGTTCAAGCAAGGCACTCTATAAAAATAGAAAAAAAAATCTCTTTAGTTTAGTTAAAAATTAGATTTTTAGTAGGTTTTGATAAAAATTGATAAAATATATTACTTAAAAGTTGATAAAATTTGTAGATATCATGAAATATGTAATTAAAATTAATTTTTTATTTTAATTTTTTTTTTATCAATTTTCATTAACTAAATCAAACAATGACTTCATTTATACCTTTATTTTGTTAAAATTAATTTTTCCCATTTTTTAATTGTGCCAATTGAAAATACGGTTGTGCTACATGTATTGTATATATCACTATTTACATATTGATGTATACACACATGACGTGATAAAATATGATTGAGTCATAATTTTCAAAAAAAGAAGAAGAAGAAGATTTTTTCCGCTCTCTTCTTGACATCTCATCTATTTATAAAACTTTCTATAATTCCTTATATACAAATAGTATTATTCTTTAAAAAAGGGTGTGATGTTGACAAGAAAAATATGCCTATGTTTGAGCCCAATTTTCTAAAAATTCATTTTCTAAAAACTCATTTTTAACCATACATTATTCTAATAAAATAATTTTACTAGTAAGTACAAAAATTTTCCTT